TATATGTCTGAAACAAAGCGAGATAATTAATACAATCACTTGAATTGTGTCTGATGTAACAACCCCCATATCTATGTTATATACTGACTATCAAAGGATTAAGACTTGATGTTATATGTCTGAAACAAAGCAAGATAATTAATACAATCACTTGAATTGTGTCTGATGTAACAACCCATAACATTGTTAAGGTTATTCTAATAAAAAATTTTATTTACAATTTATATTACGATATTCCACATGGATTATCTTGAATTGATTATAACTAAAAGCCATCTGTTTTTCATTCACCCAACACACCAAATAATCTAATTCTTTTTGTACAGCAGCAGAATCATCCCAGAGCCAGCAACACCAAGACCTTAATATCAACAGCAAATTTAATTAATTTATTGAAAATTCCTTCCTCTACATCACTGGTGTAAATATGAAGAGCAAAGGTCCCAAAACCGAGCCATGAGAGTTACCCGACTTGTCTTGTGATGCTAAATGATTAAATCCAGTTTGACTGAACTTCATTTATAACAACATTGTTTTCTTTCATGCAGCCAGTTTTCTGTCCAGTGAGCTAACTTATCTTCTACACATACACAGGAATAATTTTCTTAACAAGCCTTTTATTTGGCAAATGCTTTCTGAAAATCAAGATATACCAAAACAATACTCTCATCTACATAAGCAATAACATCTTCAAAGAATGTCAAAAGGTTAGTAAGTCACGATTTCCCTCTGGTAAAATCATGTTGACTATACCAAAAAAATGTTAAACTTCATTAAATGACTTTGCAAAGTATATTTTATCAGATTTAAAAAAAAAAAAATCAACTGCTGGTGTAAGACTAATGGGCCTATAGTTACCTGGAAAGTTTTATAACATTTCTTGAAAAAAAAAAGAAGAGTGTTAGCAAACTTCCAATCTCCTGGCACCTGTCCAGTATTTAAATGTAAATAAAAAAAAACAACACAAACTACCTTGATGTCATTCATACATGTGAGAAAATTAAGGATTTGGAGTTACTACTAAAATCCACCTTCACTCCAAAAAAAATACAGATACTATTATTGTATGCAGAATAATAATTTTTCATTAACAATCATTTCACCCCTTAACTATAGTATATTTATTTATAAGAATTAAAAGTATGAAATGTATCTCACACTAGTATTCCAAATTATCATGACAAAAAAATTACAAAAGGTCAATAAGAATTAATATCAATAAAAAAGCATCTTGAAAGGAGGCCAATAAGTAGAGATGAGCAATTTAATCACTTACCTATGAGCAGTGATTACATCAATTTGTATCATATAAACAATTTGATTCATCAAATTCATGATTAAATTGATTAACTCACACCAGTGTTTCCAGTTATCATTCCAACAATCAATTTAATCAAAATTATCATTTAACTAATTATTATGAAAATAGTCAACTAACTGACATTAGAGATTCCTATTATAACTATTTTTGATTATTCCAACTATCCAATGAATCAAAATATTGCCATCAAACTTGCTCATAGCTACTATACTAAGACTAACTGCCACTAATGTTTAACTGCTGATTATGGTGGAAGGCAACAGTACCCAACAAAAATTATTTTTTTCTTCTTGTACCTATCATTGCTGGAGGAACACTATACTGATCGATTGTTATCAATTAATGGGCCATTAGCAAATATCACTAATCACCCACCTCTGTCAATAAGTAATCATCACAAAAGAATATCCACAAGAAGTTATTACAAAAGGAAATCAAGAAATTGGATCAATAAGAAGTCATCATGAAAGGTCAATAACAAATCATCATGAAGGGAGGTAAGCAAGAAAGCAACATGAAAGATCAATACAAAACCATAAAGAAATGAGATCAATAAGAAGTCAACACGAAAGAAGTTCAACAAGAAATTAGCATGAAAGGAGATCAATAAAAAACACTGTAAAAGGAGATAACCAAGAAATCATTATGATAGGATGCCAATTAAAAAGCATTGTGATAAAAGTTGTGAAAGTTCTGTTCTGAATGGTTAAGTCTAGATGAGAAATCTGCTAATAAACTAAATGCTGATAACATTGAGTTTTCTCCAAATCAACAAAACTACTCACCATTGGTCCCAGATACACGTGTTTTCCAATGTACCTTTAAGTGGCTCTTGACTTTCACCATCTTTGTTGGTTTGAACTTTGAGGCAGGGCAAAAAGGGCAGTGGTAGGACTTGCAGTCCCCTTTACAGCAATTAAAGCATCGTTGAAGTAAAGCTTCAAGCTCATGCAATGAAGAGAAACATGCTGTTGTTGCCATCAGGAATCAATAAAAGTCAACCTTTCATAGTTGACAAAGCCAGCTAAGTCCTGCAGAGAACCAGTTCTGGTTTTCTTGTCACTGGGAGAATACACACTATGGATATTAGCTGAATGTAAAACTACTTATACAGTATAACCACAAAATTAAATGACACCTAACAACAAAGAATAAAAAAGCTAAACCATTAGGTATTCTCAAATAGGTTTATTTACCTCCTTTAATTCCAATCTTCAGTTTTATAGTTCATGTAAGTGTCAAAATCATTTTAGATAGTGTGATAATTTTGCTTAAGTTACTCACAATCAACTGTCTTTCATGATTTCATAGTGACAAGATCTGTTTATTGACAGTAATATTACACACACTTAAAAAACTAAATGCTGGAAAGAGGCAATTCTATTCTTTTCTTATTCAAATGGACTTTGAAAACCTTAAGTCAGTGGACAAGAAAATTAAAAATGATCTTCAAAATCTAACAAAATGTTTGAAATTTAACATCTGGCGTAAGTGTAAGTGAATGTATTGCATACTAACCTAAAGTATTAACAAATGTATGGTTATCATTTGAAACTAATACAGTGTGTAACTTGTAATAACTGGAGGAAAAGCAATAAATACCTTATAATTGTTATACAGCAGTATAAAATAGAAAAGTAAAACAAACATTCTTTATCAATAGATAACCTCTACACATGAAAAGATGGGGTTTACATTCTCTCTCAAAGTCAGTCAAAAGGCAACTTTCAAGCAATCCATTGTACTGGAAGATATTACTTCCCAATCTGTCTGTAGACTTAATACTTTTGTGACATAAAGGATTAAAACAGGATTTGTTTGTGATTGGTAATGACAAACAAACTGTTAACTACTCTCTTGTGGTCCATATGGACCTCAGAAATATAATACTGGCACTGGTAACTTTGCTTGGAAAGGAATTAATAATTAAATGTTTCTTAAAATTTTTTTAATGAATTTTTCTTCCTTACTTGCAATGGCTTGAATTAACATAGGGAACTTAAAGGGGGGGGGGGGGCACAAGGTGAGGCATGTTCTTCATATGAGGTAATATGGAAAATGCTCCCATATAGTTCTTGCATACATAGTGGTTGTTAATCATTACATAAATTTCAGTTGCTGGAGAACAGGGGACAATAAAACATCTCTCATTTGTACAATCACTTTCTGCAGGCTTGAGCCCTGTAAATGTATGTACAGACTGAGTGAATACTTAAAGGTTAAGTCTTCAACTGAGTATTTAACAACAGAGAGAATGTTGTAGTTTCATGTACAACTCAAATGGAGGCCTCATCTTCAAAGTGTATAAAATTAAAAGCCTAGAAAAGGCATAAAATTTTGAACATTTTTATTATTTCACAAACATAACTTTTCTTAACTGGTAAATGTCTGTTCTTAGATAAATTCTACTTTGTTTTTACTAATAAAACTAATGACCACATATATATTATCTGAATACCTTCTTTTTATTAGTATCTATGAACAAAACCATACACACAACCTAACGATATAGACAAGGTTATCTCAATATACTGGGCTCGTCCTTGAGAAAAGTAAAAATTTAAATTAACTTTTTCACACCTTTCTTAAATTCTTGCCAGATGCTGGCCTCCACTACTGCCTGTTAGCAAAATAACCTACCTTAACTGGAGTACAGCCTGTTTTTACAAAAAAACTCTATCTTTTCATCATATTGTCTTCAGAACTCAACATAAGGGGCTGTTATCCTATCAATTCCCCAGATAATCTTGTAAACTGTAATAAGATCAACTCTTACCCTTCTTTTCTCAGTAGAAAATTAGACACCTTAATCTATCCCTATAAGGTAATCCTTCCATCCCTGGAATTATCCTAGCAGCCCTCCTCTGAATCCTTTCAAATAAGTCAATATCATTTCATAGATAAAGAGGCCAAAAATGCCGGAGTGAAGCTTAACTAGTGATTTTTATAAACAATTACCTCTTTTCACTATTAAATTCTATTAGCTTTACTACTAGCGACAGAGCACTGTCTCGATGGTTTGAATGATGTATCTACTACTAGGCCAAGACCCTTTCCTTTAGTCACACTGTAGAGTGAATTCCTTTCTATTTTAAACATGTGATCCAAATTATGATAATCCAAATACATTAACCTGCACTTAATATAACTAAAGGCCAGTTGCCAACTATTGGTTTAACATATTAATTGATACAATTCATTTAATCTGTAGTACCTCAATACAGCTAAAAAACCCCATATTGAAGACCCCTAAGATACTTCATTAGTTGACTAGTCTTTTCCCAACCCCGTACTGATGACCCCTAAAGTACTTCATTAGTTAATTAGTCTTTTCCCAACCCCGTACTGATGACCCCTAAGATACTTCATTAGTTGACTAGTCTTTTCCAAACCCCGTACTGATGA